GAATACCATTGATCAGACCTGCTGAGGGATTGCCAGTTGTCTGTCTTGTCATGGATGCAACCTGATTAATGGAATTTACTTGCCTTGCTTCCTGTTGTGGCAATTGATGCCTCTGTAGTTGCTGCTGCCGCTGAAATTCCTGCATTTGCTTGAGCATAATCTGTTGATGTAGTAGCATATCACTTACCCCTGGTGCCTGCCTAGGCAAAGGTTGCAGCATTGAATGTTGGCCAATCATTTGTTGTTGACCTCCAAAAAAATCATAGTTGACAGGAGATTCAGTTGATTCCAACCTCATTGAGTTTTTCTTATGAACATCTGGACCATTTCCCAATTGTTGGTCAATAACCGACATGCCTCTTGATGCTAAACTATGCCGATCAGATTCTGTATCCACTCCCAACAAGTTTGCTTCATTCTTTCGTATCTGAACCTGATTCCCTTGTATATAGCCATTTACAGCCTGCTGATGAATTTGAGGCTGACTCCTAAAGAGCTCAGATCTCAAAGCTGATTGTGTATAGTTCACACCATGCTGCACACTGGAAGACTGCCCTCTCTCAGCATCAGCTAGTGCCGGAAGAAAAAGAAATATGTTTAATAACAGATGATGGCTTCAAAATCTATGAGAAATAGCATACTCTAATCACGCTTACTCTTGTCAGATAACAAATACCAAAAAAAAACAATAGAAAGGACTGGGCTGTAGCAACATGCTTCATGAGGAAATATCTAACCTTACAAAAATTGCATGTTAAGAGAAAAGTAATTTATACCTGTCTGTGGGACATTAAGATTCTTCAAATTGGAAATGAGAGGTGAGCCAATTTGCCTCTGGCTGCCAACCCACGCATTGTTACTAAAACCTTGCCAGGTCCCGTCAACAATCTGTGAATGATGTTGACCTTGGGACGAGGTTTCTTGGCCAAAGAAATTGTGGATCCTGTCGCCAACTTCGTTGCCAGGCATAAGTATAGTGCACCCACAAAATTTCAGCCACTAAAATTTCATGTGAAGAAGACCAATGCCTAGAAGAAATGAACAAAGTTCAATACCTAGAAGACCAATACCAAATAACTTATAGCTGTTGCAATTATTTTAAAATACACAATAATTGCAATCCAAGTACCTGAGCTCACTTTTCTTTTTTCTTTTTTTTTGAAATAAGTACCTGCGCTCATTTTTCACACAGAAATTTGAATAAATCAACACGCATTAGCTAATTGGCCGTGCAGTTCAAAGAAAATAATAAAGTTTAGGACAAGGAAGGTAATGCCATGATTGAATAGTCACTCTAACTTGTGGTCTTACTAAGGCAAGCTAGGCAGCAGCTAGATCAATGAAAGTTGAAGGAAAAGGATAAAATTAAAAAGGTCCTTCAACTTACATCTTCCTCTTCAAAAGATGTGTCAAATTAGCCCTTAATGGCATACGCAAGGAATCCCCAGTTAATTCTGAACCCCCAAAGTAATTATCACAGGTAAAATGAAAATCTTAGCATTTATCATCACCTCAGTTCCATTGCCAATCAAACAGAAAAGACATATATGCCCCATCGCACCAAATTCCTTTAAATACAAGAACATACTAAGAGAAAAACCAAAAGGCACCTTGAGACCCCAAGTATCATCCTCTCAATTATCCCTGGATGAACATATCATAACAAAAAGCCTCATTACTTGATTAATATTCTATAACTCCCAAACAAAATTTTCCATCCAGAAAAATTCACCAAATACAGAGCCTCATTACTTAGGTCACGTCCCCTTACAGTCTCACTTCACACTAACACTAATTGTCATTCCATCATGTTTCTAAAGTTATCAGAATAAATTAGCCTCCTCCATCCTAGAGAAATTAAGTGACTATCCAATCAGTGCATCGTAAAGATGTTCAAGCAGATCAAAGTTTGAGACACTAAATCAAACCATCATTGTTGAGCTATGTCTTCCCATTGCCTCATACTAAGAATAGTATTGCATTCCTGCGTTTGTCAATGGAATTTAACTCCTTTTGCCCTAACCTGATTAGAGTCACTAATCACTTTTCTTGGTACAAATTATAGTGATCATGCAATGGTCAATTGAAAATGAATCTCCTATTTAGAGGTGTAGATTTATTGGGGGTGGTCATCTGTAAATGTACGATATAAAAGCACAGGATAGCTATCAAGATATTCTCTAAAAGTTTGTCACAATGACTAGCTTCAATAACCTCAATTCCTTTCTTTAATCCCTTTGAATATAATTTTACTAGATCCTAACATCCTACAAGAACACTATGCCCAATCCAATAGTAATATTTGGCAACTAAGCTTATTTCCCTTGCATGTTTCCTTCTTTTTTTTAGAGAGGAACTGCCTTGCATGTCTCTTAAGGCAACTAAAGAACAATTAAATAATTCCAGTGTACTTAAGTACATCAAATATTTCCTAGTCTGCAACACATGACTAAAGATTTTCTTTTTTTTCTTTTGAGATAATACAATAACTAAAGATGGAATGCACAGTTTGAAAAAGATACCAATTACAGTGAAGCAGTTATTGTTTCCAACTCTAGTTTATCAAAGATGTACATTTTGGTAAAGTAATTAACTTCAGAATATAATATAAATAGACCTTATCCATGGAAGTTAGAGAACATTAAAGAACAGACTGCAAAAAAAATGTAAGCACAGAAAAAAAACTACAGAACCACCAGTTAAGCAAAATGAAAGATTCTCAAAGAGCATAAAATAAAACGGGAGAAAGGGAGGAAGAGGGCAATGACAACAGCCAACGAAGACCATATAGGTCATCATAACTCTCTAAACAAATTAAAACACCCACAAACATGGTAAACCCAAAACAGGCAAAAGAGGCACAAATCAAACGTAAAACCGTTTAGCCCCATTTTCAGCTCCTTAAAATGCAGAAAACTGAAAAACCGTCAAATTTTCCTACCAACGTATTCCGAGTCTGAGACCTTTTTTATACAGGAAAAGTCATAAAATAAACCTCCACAAAGCATGCTGGCTACAACCACAATGGTCGCTCAATTGAAAAATCATATCCCTTTTCAAGCAAAAACGCACAACACAGGAGCTCTGAATTCACTCATTCACTCCATCTACTCAGGAAAAAAATCAAGAACACATCCAGACCCGCAAATTCTCTCTGACTCTCTCATTTACAACCGAAAAAAAAAATGATAATGAAACACCAGAAAAAACCTCGCATAAAACCAGAGCTCAAACCAAACAAGAAAACGGAAAAAATTACGAAGCTGCTACAAGACGCCAGAAGCTGAGCAGAGATTTAGTTTTAAAATGTATAAATGTCTTCGATAAACACAAAAATTAGGGTTTTCAACATAGAAAAAGGATATGGTTTGGACTCACAGTGTCGTCGATTGGCCTCCTTTGAAGCTCGAAACCGATTGTTGAGACTGTCGAAACTCTGTGAAGTTTTAGGGTTCGAATCACCTGCGGGAGATAGACGGGTGTTTTTAGCAGAGAGAGAGAGAGAGAGATAAAGTGATCAAAATAGTGCGAAATTTTCAACGAACGGAGGAGCAAAACTGAGGTTCGGATCCGCATCTGCGCTTCGGGTCCAAACCTCTTGGTACAGGAGCGTTTTTGAGAGAGGGCGCTTGAAGAGTTGTTGAGAGACGAGAGCAGAATGAAATTAAGTAGTTCCGCAATACGATTTTGACACGTGGAAATATTGTCGCGGGACCCACATACTGTATAGATTTAGTGTGAAAACGCGCGCATATAGATTTTATCCGGATCGTTAATTTCATTTTTTAAAAAAATTATTTAGTAAATGATATAATAATAAACTTAATTTTTAAAATTAAATAGAAAACTCAGTATATCTCTTTACACTTCACATTTAAATTTTGACATTCAATTTAACGATTATAACCCCCTGTTAATAATAAAATTAATTAATATGTGTTTATAAAATTATTATAATACCTCCGTTAATAACAAAATTATTGCATTAAGCATTGTGATTGATTTAATGAATTACTTATTAATGTTAACACAACATTGTAAAATTATTAAATAGATTTCTCAAATATTTTTTAAGGAATATTAGTTATAATTTATTTAATAATTTTTAAATTTATTGTAATATTTTTATTAAATAAAATATTTTATAATTATTTTTTCATTATTGTTACTCATAAATTATATAATGTATAATAATTCTTAAGCTATTCAACTTTTTTTTTCTCCGTTTTAAGGCCATGGACTTTAAATAAATATTTAAACTACACAACCAGGTTTTTTTTATTCAAATTAACCGTGCAATATGGAAATACTGAATTTATATATTTAACTATTATTACATATTACCATCATCAATAATATTAACATATATTTGTTAATATATTTAAATAATTGGTTATGTAAACAACATGTCATCAACGCGTGGCATTATCATCTTCTAGCTATTCTTATATGTACGTTACGGATTTTCTTTCTAAATTCCAACCACAATTTTTTTTGGAGTCTTAACCATCTTCGTCTTTACTATTTCTTATTTTGTATCTCATCTCTCTTTTTTCATTAAGTATGAACATTATCACAATCGATCAAATGACTCAAATAACACAAACAAATGTTTTCTCTTTTTCTTTTTTTCAATATCTGTTATTATACACGTATAGATTTAGACATGGACAAATTAATATACAAAAGCATGGATTTTTTATTTGAAATTTGTATTGATTTTAATGAATATTTTTTACTAAAGATTATTTAAATGAAGTTCTTGAGAGATAGTGATCCCAAGAGAAGGGAGGAGACAGAGAAAGGTAAGAGGAAGGGAAAAAAAAATCAAATGTTTAGAGGAGTGGAAATAATCTAAAGTGAGTAGGGCGGAAGTGGTGAAGTTTTAGGAGAAGGAATGCAAAACAAAAATAATAAGTAAAAGATATAAGAACGAAAAGAATTTTATTTTTGATTTTTAAAGATGACGAGAAGAAGAAAAAACAAAAACCATGGTTATGTCACATTGGACTGGTAAAATTAGTCAACGAAGAAGATGATCAGTAAATACTTTTTATTTTTTTATTATTTAAGGATGAAGTCGTAACTGATATTATAACTACTACATCTGATTTTCGAATAGTATATTTTTATATTTATTTACTTAATTTTTTTTATTATTATAATTATTGGATAAACATTTATTTTTTCTTAAAATTAACAGATATCGCGTGTTGATGATGGCATCTTCGTGACATTTGTTTCAATATATTAGCGAATACGTATTCACACTACCGACATCGTTAATGGGTAATAACAAGTAAGAGTGTAATTTGAATATTTTTAATAGTACAGGATTGATATGATTCAAAAAGAAACTTAATGTGTAATTTAAAAATTTATACAAAGTGCAAGGTGCAATTTGCTATTTGTGTCTCAGTTTTAAACAATTTTCTAATTTAAAAAGTTTTCTGCAACCTAATCCAAAATCATTTAACATATTATGATGGTAATCATGCTTTCGAGGTTGAGTGATTTTGTCATTTAGTATGTTATGCAAAAAAATTACTCTTTTTTTTTTTAAAAAAAAAAAAAACTCACTTGAATTTGAATGCCAAACTTAACAAAAATGATAAAAACGAATATAATGTCTCTTATTTAATAATGAAATTATCACTGTTGATAATTTATTTAAACAATAAAATATATAAAAATTCGCTAAATTAATTAGTAATTCGTATCAATAAAGTTCATCAAAAGATAATTTTATCATTAAAAGTAATTTATAAATAGATAAAATGATTCATTTAAATAACAAATATAAAAATTTATTAACATTTGATATTAATAACATTATTTAAAAATATAATAAAATAATACGAATATATATGCGATTCTGAAATAATTTTTCTCCATCTTCATCTGCGGAGAAATTTAAAAAAAAAAAATATCCCATGAATATATTTACATGGTTTCACACAAGTAAAATT